GGGATGCTTTTCTTCAGCAGGGACTGGGCATCTTGTTCACATTGAAGGCCAGATGGATGGAGCAAAGTATAGGGAAATACTGCAAGACAACCTGCTTCAGTCTGCTAAAAAACTAAAGCTTCACCTTTCAGCGGGACAGTGGTCCCAAGCAACACAAGAGAGGTCGAACAACAAAAAGGTGGCTAAATAGCAGCCTATGAGCGTCGTTCAACCAACCTGATCAAATATACCACAAATCTGCCAGATTTTGGGTGAAAATCACTTGCAAACAGCGTGCAAAGCTGAAATCAACCCCAAAAGACTTACAGCTGTTATTGCAACAATAGGTGGTGCTACCATGTACAAGTCTAAAGGGGTTGAATACTTCTGCAGGCAGCATTTTTTTGTTTTTAAACTAAAATGTTTTCTTTTTTAAATATCTGTTGATGAACGGTGAATTTTGACTTTGAAAATGTACTTTAAAATCATATTGGTTCAATAAAAATACTTTCTGGAATAATCTGTATAAGTGTCATGTATTATTCAGACAAATCTGATGACTTTTAAGGGGGCTGAATACTTTATATCTTAATTTGATTATGCAGGAAAAAAGGTGTAATTCCCTTTTAACACTATACAGTACCTACTATACATTATTTGCTAACTACTATGTTAGGAACTATAGTGTGGGCCCACATGCAGACCCTTGAACTTTAAGGGGGAAACATTTATGACCCCCATAAACACTAAGTAATTGAATTTTGTTCTCTTGTACAAAACACTTTCTTGGAATTTGACCAGTCGAACTATCATTGGCTTCAACAGAACGGAGATGTTTCTTTGACCTCTCCAGCACTGATGTTTACAGGTGCTTCAATAGAGGAGCATCCGATTTTCTTTCTTCCCTTAAGAAATATAGCTCTGATCTTTTTTTCCCCCAGTGTGTCCTAGGGGTCACATGTTCTGTGCACATCGAGCATTTGAACTCCGGCCTTTCTGTATTCCTCCTGCCCGGCGGACGTAATTAGTTCGTGCAGATATTTGCCCTCGTGCACCTTTGCGTACTCATCTGAGTAGAAAAATGTAGATGAACTTCTTGGCCTGAAGACAAAAAGTTTATCTTGTATCGCAGCTCTGCGTTCGGATCTGTGTGTGTGTGTATTAAAATGCTTCTGGCGTTCTGACACACCTCGTTTCAGCTTGTCAAAAATACCCAAAACCTTGGATCACGCTTTGAGGAGATTCCATTGAATACCAAGTAGGTTTTATGTTTATAACTGTGTCTGGAAAACGCTACTTAAGATATGTGAGCCGAGCAGGTAACGTTCATTATTAAAACCCTATTTAAAAAAGAATGCTAGATACTCGGCTTTAAATATTCTGTTGCGACTTTTTTTTCTCAGCACTGCATTGCATTCTTGCAGACTTTGCCGCAGACGGCACGTGGCATAGCTGAAGCTCAATCCTGATTGCGAGCACTACAACGTGTGCCCACAGAATACATCATATTTTTCCAAAATTAAGGGGTTTAAGAGAAAGTGGAACACACACCGAGCTGTTGTAAGTTATTATAAACTTTTCTTTCTCGAATAATAAGCTTGTCTGGCTGCTGCTTTTATTCCTGAAGGGTTTAGAGTGCTCCTGCTTGTTCACTGTCAAGGTCCAAAACTGAGATGAGAGAACTTGCTTGAAGCAAAAGTACATTTTCATAGTTGCCAAAAAAATAAGTAAACACAAAGTGCGGTTGTTATTCTGAAAATAAAATGCATAATAGGGAATTGGAAATCCCAACGCACATGGGCTCCATCCCCTGCCCCTTTTGTCTCCAATGCCTCCAATGTGCCTCTGTGCAAGAGGAATTCAGGTTTGATCTGGTTACTGTAGTCACTCCTGGTTAAACAAATTCCCTCCATAATCTGATGTCTGACATTAAAATGATGTCTGACCCCTGCCAGATAATAAAACCTTAAAAAAAAGTCAGATGTCTTTAAGACTGTTGAGATGTTTTATAGCGACCTGGCCAGGGTGGTTCCTGCCTTCTGCCCATTGACCTCTGTGATAGGCTCCAGCTCCCCCCGCGACCCAGAAGGATAAGCAGCTTAGAAAATGTGTGTGTGTGTGTGTGTGTGTGTGTGTGTGTGTGTGTGTGTGTGTGTGTGTGTGTGTGTGTGATGATTTATATATTTGTTTTGATATTTGTATTCAGGTTGCCAGCATCTTTCACAAACTGGCTGCAAAAAACAGACAGAAAAGGTAGAATGAAGGTAGAAGATGTTTCTGAATAATAATAATAATAATAATAATAATAATAATAATAATAATAATCATAATAATAGCAGCAATACATTTACTGATGAGCTAAAAATGATGTTTGAGTAAAATGTTACATTGTGTATTAAAATGTGCTTATTTACTATTAGAGTATTTATTAGTATTTCTTTTAGCAAGAAACACTGTGGACACTGCAGGCCTATGAACTGCTTTTAATAGTGTGTAATAATCAAACACAACCCACCTTTATGTGCTGCCTTCTTTAAAGGGGAAATTCCATCGGTTTCTGCATAATTCAGTGGTTGCAATGTAAACAATCATTAGGAGTGGTTTGCTATGGGAAGTAATCCATTCAACTTGGATGTCTTTACAGTGGTGGTGATGGGAACCAGGGGTCAAGATGTCTACAACACACATATATAGCCATTTTATTTGCTAGCCAAAAGGACTGAATATGTGTATATATAATGTTAATGATGGTAAGATAGTGGTAAACCTGAGGGAAAAAAAAAACTTTTTTGCTTTAAAACATTAAAAAATATATATACATTTTAGGCCCAAATCTCAAAACTATCATAAAACAATGCCTCAGACTTCAGCCGGTGGATTAATGACCATTTAATGTATTAACTTACTGTACGGGAGCTCTTAGAGGAATTAAACTCTTCAGACGTCTGGTTCCCATCACCACCACTGTGAACAATCCTGACTCAGTAAATTTCTCTACCATGCACCATTTACGTTTATGCATTTTGCAAATGCTCTTATTCAAAGTGACTTAGAAAAGTGCTTTGCTGTCCACTCAGAGAATGCATGCTTGACTAGCAAGTTTCTCTAGAATGGAGCATTTCATATCAAACCACTCTGAATAACTGTTACATCTTAACCATTTAATAATGCAGACATTTTGAAAAATTTTTGATTTTACATCTACAAGTTGGATCAACAAGGTAGGAATGTCTAATAGAGTGGACAGTGAGTGGACAGTGTTTAAAAATTGTGTCTGATCCACTCATACCAGCACAACGCACACTAACACATCACGACCACGTCAGTGTCACTGCAGTACTGAGAATGATCCACCACCCAAACAATATCTGCTCTGTGGGGGTCCTGACCATTGAGGAACAGGGTGAAACAGGTCCAACAAAGTATGCAAAGTAACAGATGGACTACAGTCTGTAATTATAGAACTACAAAGTGCACCTATATGGTAACTGGAGCTGATAAAATTAGCTATGAGTATAGATAATGTTAAACAAAGTTTGGAATATTGTGTCCAGACTGGACACGTGTATCTATGGTACATACTTGCTTATTGAGTGGTGCAATTTGGTGTTGTGTGACACTCAAAGTGTCTCCACTTTCTGTAACTGGCTGTGAGTGATGAAAAGCCTTCCTCTGCTGCATTTGTGCTATTATTTCTATCTGAGGCTGTAGAAACTCTGTAGCAGACAGTGTTACACTCCCACATGAATTTATGGCTTGTCTTTTTACAGTCACTTGAAACAGGGATTTGCATGCCAAATATTCCCCCAGAGCTGTAAATTTTTGGAGACGATTTTATATGCAACTCAAAGGTTTGAGCTGCTGGCCTTAACAGCCTACAGATTCATCATGTCTATAATGGCAAGTTATATAGAATCCTGCTTTTTGAATGACTCTTTAGTGAGTCAAGTGAACTGATTCGCTCCTACAAAATGATTCACCCATCTCAAAAGATCGCAAATTTGTTTTTGTGTTATTGTTTTGTTAGCTGGTGTCGATCAGAAGAGGATGGGTTCTCCTTGTGTGAGTCTTGGTTCCTCTCAAGGGCTCTTCCTCTTGCTCTTAGGGAGTTTTTCCTTGACACTGTCTCCCTTGGCTTGCTCACTGGGGCTTTTTTTGGTAACAAGCGCTATATTAATAATCTATGACTAAATTAACTTTGATAAAGGCTTTTCTATACACTGAAACAAGCATTCTTGATAAGCTACAGACTTGAAAACCAAAAAAATAGTTCTTCAAGGGTTCTTTAGCAAAGGCAATGGCTCTATTTAGAACCATGGGTTCTGTATAGAACCATTTCATGCTTAAATAGCTCTTTAGATTGATGGAGAATGTGTTGTAAATGGTTCTATATGGAACCTTTTTGAAAATAGTTCTATATAACACCAAAAAGGGTTCTACTTTTACAAGTTTAACATCATAGCAATAGCAGAACCTTTTTTTATTGCTATGTAGTACCATTTTCAGAAAGGTCCTGCATATATATATATCAATCTGAAGAACCATTTCAACCATTCCAACCACAAGCTGCCATGCCTACCCCAGCCAGTTAACTCCTTGATTGATGTCAATGATTGGCTGGACAGGTGTTTTAGTGTTAGGTAAGGGGGGGGGGGTAGATACAGAGGTGACCACTGGGGTAAAATCTGCGCTCCATGGAACGTAAATGAATCACTGAATCGAATGTTCCATCCACTGAGAGGAACAGTTCAAAAGAATCGGCTCTGTAAATTGGATCGAACGTTCCTTCAAAGCTCTTCAAAGCGCCTCCAGCGCTATTTCTTTTCCTACCCGTTTTCCGGCAAACCCCGCCTCATGCGCTAGGGCTGACCAGTATTTCACACTCAACGAGAGTACAAACTACTAGCAAATCCTAGAGCTGGAGGCGCACTCGTTTTAGCCAATCGTAGCTCAGAGGGCGGGGCTTACTGAATACGGGTGGGGAAAAAAGCCCATAACGCCACCAGCAGAGAGTGCACTACGCTCTGTATAGCAGTCAGCAGCGCTCTGCTCCAGCCAGGCTGCTGCGCTCTCTCCACGGTCCGGATGAAGTGAAGGACACAAGCGTGTCTCTCATGCCGGCGGACTCTTCGTGACCAGCTGAACTCTAAACCGGACTCCAGTTACCTCGCCAGCGCGCTGAAATAACCGGAGTGCTGATTTAGCTGGATAGTTGGATTTACACTGTTTTTTTTAGAAACACATGGAAATGTTGCTGAAGTTGGTTTTGTTGTGGACTTGCTGGCTCGGAGTGGGAGCGGACTTTGATGGAAGGTAAGAAGCTGAACGCACTTAGAAAGATGGTTCTTTAAGGGTTCTTTAAAACCATAATCATGAGTTGTCTTTAGAACCTTTGCATGCTTGCATGGTGAAACGGTTCTGCAGATTGATGGCACCAAAAAGGGTTCTTGCTATGTGACAAGCTTGGCATCGAAACAACAGCAGAACCCTTTTAGAACCATTTTGAGACACATAAATATACAGTACAACACATTCTCCATCAATCTAAAGAACCAGTTAAGCATAAAATGGTTCTATATAGAACTCATGGTTCAAAACAGAACCATTCCACCATTCCCTTTTACTCAAGAACCCTTGAAGAACCATCTTTTTTAAGACTGTACTCAGAGCTTGTTTTCTTTTTCATGAAGTGCGCAAATGCGTGAATTTCAAATGTGTTTTATTCCGGTGGACATGCAAACAACTTGAGCGTCACACGAGAGCCAGTTGTTTGCGTTTGCATTAATTCCAGCTGCAACCCAAATAAGTTCTGCCTGATCTTTCGAGTGTTGGAGGTTATAGTGTGATGTTGGTTCAGCAGGAGGCTCGAGGTGTTCAGGCTGCGTGGAGCAGCGCAGCGTGTCTTTGTGCCGGGCGTTCATGTCCGAACACGAATGCTGAAATATGTGAGCAGAGGTGCAGAAACGTGCACATGCACCTTCCACTGAGCGCCAGTGTGAGAGGAATCCGGCCGCATTCCTAACCCGCAGCCTGCGGTTCACTCAGCGGATGCTCTCAGAGTCATGTAGACTAACTCGGCGCGCTGTTTCGATTTGCCCCCGTTTTAACTCCGTTTGTCCCGCGAGGCTATTTTGGAAGTAACTTTCCTGCGCTTGCATCATGCTGGTGTGTGAATGCAGCGCGCGCTTGGCGCAGCGCTCGGACCCGCCGGGCAGCAGAGAGGAACAGCGGGCGCTGTGGACTGGACAGGACACGGTCCGCCTGAGCCGCTGTGGAGGGGAAAAAAGTGAAAGCTGGTCTTGGAAATGGACTTGTTCACAGGGGTGGTCGGCGTCTTCTGGCTCTTCTTGTTCTTGTTGTGTTTAATCCTCCTCATCATCTTCATCCTCATTATCATCCTCATATTCCTCTTTTATTGCTTTGTCTTCTCTTTGGCTCCTACATCATCATCATCATCATCATCATCATCATCATAATCATATTCATAATTAGAACCATATTAATCATCACCATAATCTTCATCATACTTTTTGCTCTAGTATGATAATCGTAATCATCATCATCATCATCATCATGGCTTTTACACCTTCTTCTTCTTCTTCTTCATAGTTTTTTCTGTATCTTCTCCTCGGCTCCTACATCATCTTCTTCTTTGTGTTTACACATCATCATCACACTTATCATCATCGTCATCATCACCATCTAATTCATCTTCTTGGTTCAACTTTTCTTTACTCTTTTATCGTTGCCTTCTCCTTGGCTCCTACTTCATCATCATCATCGTGTGTCTATATCACCATCATTATCATCATTAATCATATGAACTTCACATTAATCAGCAGCATAATCATATTAATCATCTTCATATTTTTTGCTCTTTATGATCATATTAATCTTAATCAACATCTTCCTGGCTTTTACGTCTTCATCTTTGTCTTCTTCTTCACATACTTTTCTATGGCTCCTACATCATCATCTTCCTTGTGTCTACATCATCATCATCATCACCATCACCATCATCATCATCATCATCATCATCATCATCATCAAAATCATCCTCATAATGTAATCATAATCATTATCCTCTGTTTCATCTTCTTCTTCTATTAGTACTTCCGCTACTACTTTTTCTTCCTTCTCTTCGTCCTCCTCCTCCTCCTCCTCCTTCTTCTTCTTCCTCTTCTTCTTCTTCTTCTACTACTTTTTTGCTGATCTTATTCTTCTTCCTCCTTCCTCCTACTTTTTACCAGTACTTCTTCTACTGCTACTTTTTTCCTCTTCTTCTTCTTCTTCTTCTTCTTCCTCTAGTACTTATACCACCACTACTTTTTCTTCCTCTTCTCCTGTTCCTTCTTCCCTTCTTCCATATCTTCTTCACTCCTACATAATCTTATTTTCTTCTTTGCTGCTACGTAATCTTCTTCTTCTTTTTGATCTTCTTCTTTTCTTCTTCTGCACATAACATCATTTTCCTTTTATTCCTACATAACATAATCTTTCTCTTTGTTCTTCTTCTTCTACTCTATTTAATTTGTCTCAATCTTTCACTGCTGACCTCCTTAGTGAGACAATTTTGCAAACACACTCATAACTCACAGCAGGGATGCTTGTGACCTGTTTTTTGTTGTGTATGCCCGTCCGGTACTGTAGGGCTGTTACCCACAAGCAGTGCATTGATCCACCTTGCTGTATCAGCATTTACTGTAAACTGTTTGGATAACCTAGAGGCAAAGCAAAGAGTAGGAAAGTATGTACAGTCATCTGTTCATTTAATTGTGATGATCTTCTGTATCCATCTCCTGTGTTCTGGCCTGCATCTCTACCTCAGTGTCCATGTATAGTCCAGTGTGTTCTGAAGTGACTACACCAGAGGTGGCAGGTTCCCCTGGTGTGGATCCAGTCTTAATCAAACACACCATATCCATCTGAAGAAAGATATGAGAAAGACGTGAACATCAGAGGGAGGTGTGTTCTGGTAGTGTTGGAAGATGGTCGATGTTCAGATGCATGGTTTGCCAGAGCTGATCTATACATTGTGGTTGGACTGTATCGTGCTGATATTTCAGTGAGCGAGCTGGCCAGTGCATAATCAGAGTGTACATTAACCCGCCAGCATACGTTATTAATGCCAGCCATGATGGAGGGAGCTTGTCACCTGGGTCATTATTTGCCAATTTCCACTGCTTATAAACCTGCTTCGCTGCCTCCATCTAAATTCATAGACAGAATACCCAGCAAGAGCGCGCTGCGAGTGGCCCATTCATTATTTCCAGTCCTTCAGCAGGACAATTTAGAGCCCCCGTCTAATGGGCCGAGGCATACCTGAGGGATGGCTTGCTCCTAAACTGCATACAGGCGTTTTGTACTACGATGGTGAGTTTAATCGATAGAAAGACTTGCTACAGCCCAGATGGGAGTAAAGCACTGCTTTAGTGTTGTTTTGGTGTTTTGTTGAAGGTCAGAGGAGCGCTGAAGGTTGAGTTGCTACACAGTCCTGTGGGAAAAGGTTTACCCTACTCGAAAGGTTCTCCATTTAGTCCTCAAAGAGACCCAGCCAGTCTGCGGTTTTGCTTTTAGCCAGTTTCTGAAACGTCTGATCCAGGCAATCAACTCTCTACAGCCCTTGATTACCTGGATCACATGTGACTGCAGATGGAACAGAGCAAATCTGTTGACTGGCGGGGGTCCCTGAGGACTGGATTGATAACCTCTGCCTCAGTGTTAAGTGTAGTGTCCAGGCGGGTCAATAATGCTCCCCTGTTCTGTTTACTCTTGTGCTTCAGGTGCACTTGGTAAATCTGTTGTTAATTATCTGTGCATAGTTCAATGAAAACTTCAGATTTACGCAATTTTCCATTTACTCCAATTGTGCCCGTTCAGCCAGAAGGTCCAATTAGCATTCTGCACAATTCATACCTAAATCAACTTGCCTTAAATCGCAAGTAATCTCAAAAAGATTTATGTGATTTCACATTGCAAGTTGCCTTACTTGCTATGTAGCAGTTTATTTGATTCCGATTTTTCATTTAAGAATTGAAAATTCAGTTTGGCCCATTAGAGTGCAAATAATATTATTTAAATTGTGATTTTGACTAAAAAAGTGCTGGAAATATGCTAATGTGTTTCATGTGCTCATTTAGCCAACACAGTGTGAGCTTTGAGTTTAAAAAAAAAGGAAAAAATCAGCCAAAAACTGGGTTCTATGGCCAAAATTTGGCTGTAAAGAATTGGAATTGGCCAAAAAAATCATAATCGGTTGCGTCCTTAGGTTTGATACTCTATGACATACTGTTTTCCATCAAAATAGACAAAACTAATAGCAAAATTTCAGGCTTCAAGACGACTGCTAATGTTTTTAGTCATGCAAATTGTCCATTTTTATAGATAACAGTGTGTCATACAGTGTCATACAAGTCAGGTACAACGTGGCCTGGGCCGTTTTTCCTAAATTCATAGACAGAATACCCCGCAAGAGCGTGTAAGTAATTTCAGACTTGTGTGATTTCAGATAGGGATGCACGATTGGAATTGGCAGATTTTTTGCTCCAAACATGTAATTGGCCTGTTTATTACTCTTATTTTGGCAGTTTTGTATCTGTATTGCAATTTTATGAGGAAAATAATGTGATCCAGGTCACTGCACCTGGTCTGTGCACCTGTATAAAAATTACCGATGTGCATTCTGACTAATTTTGATCTTTGAATATCTGTAAGGATTAATAAACACATGGAAGGAAAAAAATGACCCTGGGCTGAAATTAATGTAGGGGTTTTTTAACTTTTTAAACTTTTTTGAAACTTTTTAGAAGGCAGCAGTGGTGCTGCACAAAATAGCCGAAAGGGAACCCCTAGGTTTTCATGTTGGATAAGTAACAGAGGCATCCTCTTCCGGTGAGCCAATAGGCTCAAACTACAGCTAGCTAGTACAACACTTTATGACACACTGTTATAGATATCAGTGTAGGGCTAAAGGTTCATCGTTTCTGTGTTGAAATTGCAGGTACAACACTGCCTGGGCGTTGCTTTTAGAAACTTTTGATTAATAACACAGAGCTTGTGAAGTGCCTCTAGCTGTTATAGACCAACCAGAAGCAGCTAAACATCCATGCAATGCATACATGACAACACAAACATACTACATTATGTGCCTGAGCTCGAAGCCAGAAAAAATAGATATGTTGGTGTTCTTGGTCAAAAAACAGGCCTGAAATATAATCAAATGCCCAAGTTCTTCAGCCCTACATAAGTGTAAAACTAAAGGAGCGAACTTCAGACACCGAACATGTCTTTGACATGACCGACAGACAGTCTGT